CTGGTGTGGTTGTATCTCCTGGTGTGGTTGTATCTCCTAGTGTGGTTGTATCTCCTGGTGTGGTTGTATCTCCTGGTGTGGTTGTATCTCCTGGTGTGGTTGTATCTCCTGGTGTGGTTGTATGGTGTGGTTGTATCTCCTGGTGTGGTTGTATCTCCTGGTGTGGTTGTATGGTGTGGTTGTATCTCCTGGTGTGGTTGTATCTCCTGGTGTGGTTGTATCTCCTGGTGTGGTTGTATCTCCTGGTGTGGTTGTATCTCCTGGTGTGGCTGTATCTCCTGATGTGGTTGTATCTCCTGGTGTGGCTGTATCTCCTGGTGTGGTTGTATCTCCAGATGTGGTTGTATCGCCTGTTGTGGCCTTATCTCCTGGTGTGGTTGTATCTCCTGATGTGGTTGTATCTCCTGGTGTGGTTGTATCTCCTGGTGTGGTTGTATCTCCTGGTGTGGTTGTATCTCCTGGTGTGGTTGTATCTCCTGGTGTGGTTGTATCTCCTGGTGTGGTTGTATCTCCTGGTGTGGTTGTATCTCCTGGTGTGGTTGTATCTCCTGGTGTGGTTGTATCTCCTGGTGTGGTTGTATCTCCTGGTGTGGTTGTATCTCCTGGTGTGGTTGTATCTCCTGGTGTGGTTGTATCTCCTGGTGTGGTTGTATCTCCTGGTGTGGTTGTATCTCCTGGTGTGGTTGTATCTCCTGGTGTGGTTGTATCTCCTGGTGTGGTTGTATGGTGTGGTTGTATCTCCTGGTGTGGTTGTATCTCCTGGTGTGGTTGTATCTCCTGGTGTGGTTGTATCTCCTGGTGTGGTTGTATCTCCTGGTGTGGTTGTATCTCCTGGTGTGGTTGTATCTCCTGGTGTGGCTGTATCTCCTGGTGTGGTTGTATCTCCTGGTGTGGTTGTATGGTGTGGTTGTATCTCCTGGTGTGGTTGTATCTCCTGGTGTGGTTGTATGGTGTGGTTGTATCTCCTGGTGTGGTTGTATCTTCTGGTGTGGTTGTATCTCCTGGTGTGGTTGTATCTCCTGGTGTGGTTGTATCTCCTGGTGTGGTTGTATGGTGTGGTTGTATCTCCTGGTGTGGTTGTATCTCCTGGTGTGGTTGTATCTCCTGGTGTGGTTGTATCTCCTGTTGTGGCTGTATGGTGTGGTTGTATCTCCTGGTGTGGTTGTATCTCCTGGTGTGGTTGTATCTCCTAGTGTGGTTGTATCTCCTGGTGTGGTTGTATCTCCTGGTGTGGTTGTATCTCCTGGTGTGGTTGTATCTCCTGGTGTGGTTGTATGGTGTGGTTGTATCTCCTGGTGTGGTTGTATCTCCTGGTGTGGTTGTATCTCCTGGTGTGGTTGTATCTCCTGGTGTGGTTGTATCTCCTAGTGTGGTTGTATCTCCTGGTGTGGTTGTATCTCCTGGTGTGGTTGTATCTCCTGGTGTGGTTGTATCTCCTGGTGTGGTTGTATGGTGTGGTTGTATCTCCTGGTGTGGTTGTATCTCCTGGTGTGGTTGTATCTCCTGGTGTGGTTGTATCTCCTGGTGTGGTTGTATCTCCTAGTGTGGTTGTATCTCCTGGTGTGGTTGTATCTCCTGGTGTGGTTGTATCTCCTGGTGTGGTTGTATCTCCTGGTGTGGTTGTATGGTGTGGTTGTATCTCCTGGTGTGGTTGTATCTCCTGGTGTGGTTGTATCTCCTGGTGTGGTTGTATCTCCTGGTGTGGTTGTATGGTGTGGCTGTATCTCCTGGTGTGGTTGTATCTCCTGGTGTGGTTGTATCTCCTGGTGTGGTTGTATGGTGTGGTTGTATCTCCTGGTGTGGTTGTATCTCCTGGTGTGGTTGTATCTCCTGGTGTGGTTGTATCTCCTGGTGTGGTTGTATCTCCTGGTGTGGTTGTATCTCCTGGTGTGGTTGTATCTCCTGGTGTGGTTGTATCTCCTGGTGTGGTTGTATCTCCTGGTGTGGCTGTATCTCCTGGTGTGGTTGTATCTCCTGGTGTGGTTGTATGGTGTGGTTGTATCTCCTGGTGTGGTTGTATCTCCTGGTGTGGTTGTATCTCCTGGTGTGGTTGTACCTTCTGGTGTGGTTGTATCTCCTGGTGTGGTTGTATCTCCTGGTGTGGCTGTATCTCCTGGTGTGGTTGTATCTCCTGGTGTGGTTGTATGGTGTGGTTGTATCTCCTGGTGTGGTTGTATGGTGTGGTTGTATCTCCTGGTGTGGTTGTATCTCCTGGTGTGGTTGTATCTCCTGGTGTGGTTGTATGGTGTGGCTGTATCTCCTGGTGTGGTTGTATCTCCTGGTGTGGTTGTATCTCCTGGTGTGGTTGTATCTCCTGGTGTGGTTGTATCTCCTGGTGTGGTTGTATCTCCTGGTGTGGTTGTATCTCCTGGTGTGGTTGTATCTCCTGGTGTGGTTGTATCTCCTGGTGTGGTTGTATCTCCTGGTGTGGTTGTATCTCCTGGTGTGGTTGTATCTCCTGATGTGGTTGTATCTCCTGGTGTGGCTGTATCTCCTGATGTGGTTGTATCTCCTGGTGTGGTTGTATCTCCTGGTGTGGTTGTATGGTGTGGTTGTATCTCCTGGTGTGGTTGTATCTCCTGGTGTGGTTGTATCTCCTGGTGTGGTTGTATCTCCTGATGTGGTTGTATCTCCTGGTGTGGCTGTATCTCCTGATGTGGTTGTATCTCCTGGTGTGGCTGTATCTCCTGGTGTGGTTGTATCTCCTGGTGTGGTTGTATCTCCTGGTGTGGTTGTATCTCCTGATGTGGTTGTATCTCCTGATGTGGTTGTATCTCCTGGTGTGGCTGTATCTCCTGATGTGGTTGTATCTCCTGGTGTGGTTGTATCTCCTGGTGTGGCTGTATCTCCTGATGTGGTTGTATCTCCTGATGTGGTTGTATCTCCTGGTGTGGCTGTATCTCCTGATGTGGTTGTATCTCCTGGTGTGGTTGTATCTCCTGGTGTGGCTGTATGGTGTGGTTGTATCTCCTGGTGTGGTTGTATGGTGTGGTTGTATCTCCTGGTGTGGTTGTATCTCCTGGTGTGGTTGTATCTCCTGGTGTGGTTGTATCTCCTGGTGTGGTTGTATCTCCTGATGTGGTTGTATCTCCTGGTGTGGCTGTATCTCCTGATGTGGTTGTATCTCCTGGTGTGGTTGTATCTCCTGGTGTGGTTGTATGGTGTGGTTGTATCTCCTGGTGTGGTTGTATCTCCTGGTGTGGTTGTATCTCCTGGTGTGGTTGTATCTCCTGATGTGGTTGTATCTCCTGGTGTGGCTGTATCTCCTGATGTGGTTGTATCTCCTGGTGTGGCTGTATCTCCTGGTGTGGTTGTATCTCCTGGTGTGGTTGTATCTCCTGGTGTGGTTGTATCTCCTGATGTGGTTGTATCTCCTGATGTGGTTGTATCTCCTGGTGTGGCTGTATCTCCTGGTGTGGTTGTATCTCCTGGTGTGGTTGTATCTCCTGGTGTGGTTGTATCTCCTGGTGTGGTTGTATGGTGTGGTTGTATCTCCTGGTGTGGTTGTATCTCCTGGTGTGGCTGTATCTCCTGGTGTGGTTGTATCTCCTGGTGTGGTTGTATCTCCTGGTGTGGTTGTATCTCCTGTTGTGGCTGTATCTCCTGGTGTGGTTGTATCTCCTGGTGTGGTTGTATCTCCTGGTGTGGTTGTATCTCCTGGTGTGGTTATAAATCTTGGTGTGGTTCTATCTCCTGGAAACAGAAACCGCCTTCTCCCCCTTCCACCCGTATCTTTCAACTTACCGACTTTACCAGGCAACGGTCGCCGGTCTGATTGTAAGATTGAAGATGTTGTACATTCAAACAAATAGCTGGATATTATTTCAGTGACATCAAAACAAATCTAGCCGTTCTGCTTTAAACTTAATTATTAGTTCAAGCACAAAACTGATGATATCCTGTCATGGAATAGCTTTATAAATATAGCACTCAACGACAGGCGATATATTTCAGCTTTTAAATTTTAGACAACAGGAAATGTTTTAATACATTGTGACTAGTTAAAATAAAACCGATTTCTCTTTGTTTTGTTTTGTTTTGTTTTGTTTTGTTTTGTTTTGTTTTGTTTTGTTTTGTTTTGTTTTGTTTTGTTTTGTTTTGTTTTGTTTTGTTTTGTTTTGTTTTGTTTTGTTTTGTTTTTCTTTCTTTTTTTTCCTTATTTAAAAATATCTAAAGCTTAAGCAAATCGGGGAAACGTTTTTTTTCTTTCTGTAATTTATAACAACACCATGGCAGCATTTGATTTGAGTTCTTCATTTGCATAGGCTAGTTGTGATCAAATGGAACCGCACATCATACTGACGTCATCAATGACACCTGGCCGCATTAGTGCCTGTTATCAAACATTGTTCTGAATGCTTGGATTCCGTCAATCGTATTCTAACGATTACAAGAATTTCAATACCTCACAAGGAAATTGTAAATTGTTGGGAAACTATCACAAGTTACTGCCCTTGTGGAATATTCTTAATTATTTTATAGCAGAACTTTTCGTACTCCCTAGGCACTCGTAGCAATTATTGCATAAGCTTCCAACCCACTTCCCCCCCCCCCCCTTTTCCACCTACCAATAAATCTTCTGTGGACCTGTGGTAAAGAAACATTAGACATAGTTTACTGAGTTTTAGGGATTTATTATTGATTTCATTATTGAGGGTAAGTCGATTTTTAACGATTTTTAAATTTGGGAGTGGGGGGGGGGGGGGGAAGGTTATCGTTGATTTCATTATTTATCATTATTGATGGTGAGTCGATTTTCTCATTATAAAAGTGAGGAAGATAGTGCGCTTGCATAAAGGACAAAATAGAAAAGGTATGGGAATCGTATAGAAAATAAAAACTTCCATCGGTGTCCGCTACCCACCCTCTGAAGTTTAATATCCCCCCCCCCCCCCCCCCCACCAGGATTCGAGTATTGATGTGATAATCATGCTTGTTTACCATGTAATGGAATTATATTTTGAAACGAAAATTTCAAACAAAATTTTTCTCAATTTCAGTCAAAAAACGAAGTGTGGACTCAGTGGAGAAACAAGTAAGTGAAACATAATGGCTAGTATGTAGGTGTGGTAGTGTTGTAGATGTCATTTATATGTAAAGATGTAAGTAAAACATAGTGGCTAGTATGTAGGTGTGGTAGTGTTGTAGATGTCATTTATATGTAAAGATGTAAGTAAAACATAGTGGCTAGTATGTAGGTGTGGTAGTGTTGTAGATGTCATTTATATGTAAAGATGTAAGGTAGTGGCTAGTATGTAGGTGTGGTAGTGTTGTAGATGTCATTTATATGTAAAGATGTAAGGTAGTGGCTAGTATGTAGGTGTGGTAGTGTTGTAGATGTCATTTATATGTAAAGATGTAAGGTAGTGGCTAGTATGTAGGTGTGGTAGTGTTGTAGATGTCATTTATATGTAAAGATGTAAGGTAGTGGCTAGTATGTAGGTGTGGTAGTGTTGTAGATGTCATTTATATGTAAAGATGTAAGGTAGTGGCTAGTATTTAGGTGTGGTAGTGTTGTAGATGTCACTTATATGTAAAGATGTAAGGTAGTGGCTAGTATGTAGGTGTGGTAGTGTTGTAGATGTCATTTATATGTAAAGATGTAAGGTAGTGGCTAGTATGTAGGTGTGGTAGTGTTGTAGATGTCATTTATATGTAAAGATGTAAGGTAGTGGCTAGTATGTAGGTGTGGTAGTGTTGTAGATGTCACTTATATGTAAAGATGTAAGGTAGTGGCTAGTATGTAGGTGTGGTAGTGTTGTAGATGTCATTTATATGTAAAGATGTAAGGTAGTGGCTAGTATGTAGGTGTGGTAGTGTTGTAGATGTCACTTATATGTAAAGATGTAAGGTAGTGGCTAGTATGTAGGTGTGGTAGTGTTGTAGATGTCATTTATATGTAAAGATGTAAGGTAGTGGCTAGTATGTAGGTGTGGTAGTGTTGTAGATGTCACTTATATGTAAAGATGTAAGGTAGTGGCTAGTATTTAGGTGTGGTAGTGTTGTAGATGTCATTTATATGTAAAGATGTAAGGTAGTGGCTAGTATTTAGGTGTGGTAGTGTTGTAGATGTCATTTATATGTAAAGATTACAATTTATGCATTCAAAGATCGAGTTTATGTAATACACGTTTTTACTTTATACGTTTATAAAATCATAGGTTTTAGAAATACAAGTTTTATAATATCGATTAAGTTAAACTTTAAGAACTAGAAATTAGAAAAGATAGTCTATAAACTATTTGTTTAGTTAGATCGACAGTTCAGGTTATATCATTAGCTAATGACATGTATGGTAGCGATGAATTGGCTTAATCATTAGCTAGCAATTTTTATGGTAAAGATTAAATTGCTGTATCATTAGCTAGCAATTTGTATGGTAAAGATTAATTGGCTGAATCATTAGCTAGCAATTTGTATGGTAAAGATTAATTGGCTGAATCATTAGCTAGCAATTTGTATGGTAAAGATTAATTGGCTGAATCATTAGCTAGCAATTTGTATGGTAAAGATTAATTGTCTGAATCATTAGCTAGCAATTTGTATGGTAAAGATTAATTGGCTGAATCATTATCTAGCAATTTGTATGGTAAAGATTAATTGGCTGAATCATTAGCTAGCAATTTGTATGGTAAAGATTAATTGGCTGAATCATTAGCTAGCAATTTGTATGGTAAAGATTAATTGTCTGAATCATTAGCTAGCAATTTGTATGGTAAAGATTAATTGGCTGAATCATTATCTAGCAATTTGTATGGTAAAGATTAATTGGCTGAATCATTAGCTAGCAATTTGTATGGTAAAGATTAATTGGCTGAATCATTAGCTAGCAATTTGTATGGTAAAGATTAATTTAATTGTCTGTATCAGCTAATGAGTTGTGTTTCAGGGCTGTTTTGATTGTTCGATGTATGAACTATGTATTTGGTGTACATGTTTGGGGACGTGTATTTGTGTTTTGGTGTACATGTTTGGGGACGTGTACGAACTATTTGTGTTTTGGTGTACATGTTTGGGGACGTGTACGAACTATTTGTGTTTTGGTGTACATGTTTGGGGACGTGTATTTGTGTTTTGGTGTACATGTTTGGGACGTGTATGAACTATTTGTGTTTTGGTGTACATGTTTGGGGACGTGTATTTGTGTTTTGGTGTACATGTTTGGGACGTGTATGAACTATTTGTGTTTTGGTGTACATGTTTGGGGACGTGTATTTGTGTTTTTATAACCTAACACAGGGGCTATAAATAATTTATGCCCTACAACTAATCTTAAATATCATGACTTTGTGGAAGTGTTGATTATTTCTAAGTTCATTATTTATTCTGTTTTTGATGTTAACCAGCTGAGATTTTAGATCTAATTATAATAATGAATTGACAAGTTTAGACGTTAATTATTTCTGACTGTTTTCACAGCCCCAAGAACAAGAAGATGATTTACGTGACCTGCTCAGTTTGGTTGGTGAGTAACTTGTGTTGTGTCTCGTTAGGGCTTTAGTGGATAACTTTTGGTGTGTCTCAGGGCTTTAGTGGATAACTTTTGGTGCGTCTCATTAGGGCTTTAGTGGGTAACTTTTGGTGTGTCTCATTAAGGCTTTAGTGGGTAACTTTTGGTGTGTCTTATTAGGGCCATAATGGTTAAAATATTTTGTATCACATTCGACAACAACAACAGAGTGAAGCAATACAAAACCAATGGTTTAAAAAATCTATATTTATAATGTAATCGCTTAACGTAAATAGCCCTGCACTTATCATAAAAGCTTTAAAGAAAACACATTTACATTTCCTGTTTATGTTAATTTTCGTTTTATTACAATCCAACATAAGTTATAAGTTAGCACTCGATATATACCCGTTTGTTGAAAAAATGTTAGGAAAATTGAAAATTGTAGGAAAGGTAAGATTAGCTGCTCTCCAAAAAACTACAGCTAGTCAATTATTAGCTTTAGCTAGCAAGCTAATGTCTAAACTAGTCAAGTACTGGCTGCAGCTAGCAAGCTTATGTCTAAACTAGTCAAGTACTGGCTGCAGCTAGCAAGCTAATGTCTAAACTAGTCAAGTACTGGCTGCAGCTAGCAAGCTAATGTCTAAACTAGTCAACTACTGGCTGCAGCTAGTTGCCACTTGGCTGCCTATTGTTGATGGCCCATCTTCGTGCAGACACAGGGGCTGATGGATCTGTTATAAACCTCCAAGTACCGGCAGCAGCCTATTAGAAAGTATCCGTGTACTTTTAGCGTTAAACTATGGGTATGAGAAGTCAATAAGCGACAAGTCAGCTAAATGGAAACCCGCCACGGTCATCGAATGGCGAAATAAACAACACGCTGGCTTGAACGTAAAAACTTTATCACAACTAAATGACATCAACATCAAAGGACAGTATCCATTTAACATCTTCATCCACAATACAACAGCTTCCACAATATAGCCTAATCCACAATACAACATCCACAATACAACATCATCCACAATACAACCTCATCCACAATACAACCTCATCCACAATACAGCCTCATACACAATACAACATCCACAATACAACCTCATCCACAATACAGCCTCATCCACAATACAGCCTCATACACAATACAACATCCACAATACAACAGCCACGATACAACATCCACAATACAACCTCATCCACAATACAGCCTCATACACAATACAGCCTCATACACAATACAACATCCACAATACAACATCCACAATACAACATCCACAATACAAAATCATCCACAATACAACCTCATCCACAATACAGCCTCATACACAATACAACATCCACAATACAACAGCCACGATACAACATCCACAATACAACCTCATCCACAATACAGCCTCATACACAATACAGCCTCATACACAATACAACATCCACAATACAACATCCACAATACAACATCATCCACAATACAACATCCACAATACAACATCCACAATACAACATCCACAATATAACATCATCCACAATACAGCCTCATACACAATACAACATCCACAATACAACATCCACAATACAACCTCATACACAATACAACATCCACAATACAACATCCACAATACAACCTCATCCACAATATAACATCATCCACAATACAGCCTCATACACAATACAGCCTCATACACAATACAACATCCACAATACAACATCCACAATACAACATCATCCACAATACAACATCCACAATACAACATCCACAATACAACCTCATCCACAATATAACATCATCCACAATACAGCATCATACACAATACAACATCCACAATACAACATCCACAATACAGCCTCATACACAATACAACATCCACAATACAACATCCACAATACAACCTCATACACAATACAACATCCACAATACAACATCCACAATACAACATCATCCACAATACAACATCCACAATACAACATCCACAATACAAACTCATTCACAATACAACATCCACAATACAACATCATCCACAATACAACATCCACAATACAACATCATCCACAATACAACATCATCCACAATACAAACTCATCCACAATACAACATCCACAATACAACATCATCCACAATACAACATCCACAATACAACATCCACAATACAAACTCATTCACAATACAACATCATCCACAATACAACATCCACAATACAACCTCACCCACAATACAGCCTCATACACAATACAACATCATCCACAATACAACATCATCCACAATACAACATCCACAATACAACAGCCACGATACAACATCCACAATACAACCTCATCCACAATACAACCTCACCCACAATACAGCCTCATACACAATACAACATCATCCACAATACAACATCCACAATACAACATCATCCACAATACAACCTCATCCACAATACAACCTCATCCACAATACAACCTCATCCACAATACAGCCTCATACACAATACAACATCCACAATACAACCTCATCCACAATACAGCCTCATCCACAATACAGCCTCATACACAATACAACATCCACAATACAACAGCCACGATACAACATCCACAATACAACCTCATCCACAATACAGCCTCATACACAATACAGCCTCATACACAATACAACATCCACAATACAACATCCACAATACAAAATCATCCACAATACAACCTCATCCACAATACAGCCTCATACACAATACAACATCCACAATACAACAGCCACGATACAACATCCACAATACAACCTCATCCACAATACAGCCTCATACACAATACAGCCTCATACACAATACAACATCCACAATACATCATCCACAATACATCATCCACAATACAACATCCACAATACAACATCCACAATACAACCTCATCCACAATATAACATCATCCACAATACAGCCTCATACACAATACAACATCCACAATACAACATCCACAATCCAACCTCATACACAATACAACATCCACAATACAACATCCACAATACAACATCATCCACAATACAACATCCACAATACAACATCCACAATACAAACTCATTCACAATACAACATCCACAATACAACATCATCCACAATACAACATCCACAATACAAACTCATCCACAATACAACATCCACAATACAACATCATCCACAATACAACATCCACAATACAACATCCACAATACAAACTCATTCACAATACAACATCATCCACAATACAACATCCACAATACAAACTCATTCACAATACAGCCTCATACACAATACAACATCATCCACAATACAACATCATCCACAATACAACATCCACAATACAACCTCACCCACAATACAGCCTCATACACAATACAACATCATCCACAATACAACATTATCCACAATACAACATCCACAATACAACATCCACAATACAACATCCACAATACAACATCCACAATACAACATCCACAATACAACATCCACAATACAACATCCACAATACAACATTATCCACAATACAACCTCATCCACAATACAACAACATCCACAATACAACCTCATCCACAATACAACAACATCCACAATACAACAACATCCACAATACAACATTATCCACAATACAACATCCACAATACAACATCCACAATACAACATCCACAATACAACATCCACAATACAACATCCACAATACATCATCCACAATACAACATCCACAATACAACATCCACAATACAACATCCACAATACAACATCCACAATACATCATCCACAATACAACATCCACAATACAGCCTCATACACAATACAACATCCACAATACAACATCCACAATACAACCTCATACACAATACAACATCCACAATACAACATCCACAATACAACATCATCCACAATACAACCTCATCCACAATACAACATCCACAATACAACATCCACAATACAACATCATCCACAATACAACATCCACAATACAACATCATCCACAATACAACATCATCCACAATACAACCTCATCCACAATACAACATCCACAATACAACATCCACAATACAACATCATCCACAATACAACATCCACAATACAAACTCATCCACAATACAACATCCACAATACAACATCATCCACAATACAACATCCACAATACAACATCCACAATACAAACTCATTCACAATACAACATCATCCACAATACAACATCCACAATACAAACTCATTCACAATACAGCCTCATACACAATACAACATCATCCACAATACAACATCATCCACAATACAACATCCACAATACAACCTCACCCACAATACAGCCTCATACACAATACAACATCATCCACAATACAACATTATCCACAATACAACATCCACAATACAACATCCACAATACAACATCCACAATACAACATCCACAATACAACATCCACAATACAACATCCACAATACATCATCCACAATACAACATCCACAATACAACATCCACAATACAACATCCACAATACAACATCCACAATACATCATCCACAATACAACATCCACAATACAGCCTCATACACAATACAACATCCACAATACAACATCCACAATACAACCTCATACACAATACAACATCCACAATACAACATCCACAATACAACATCATCCACAATACAACCTCATCCACAATACAACATCCACAATACAACATCCACAATACAACATCATCCACAATACAACATCCACAATACAACATCATCCACAATACAACATCATCCACAATACAACCTCATCCACAATACAACATCCACAATACAACATCCAAAATACAACATCATCCACAATACAACATTCACAATACAAACTCATCCACAATACAAATTCCACAATACAACATCATCCACAATACAACATCATCCACAATACAACCTCATCCACAATACAACATCCACAATACAACATCCACAATACAACATCATCCACAATACAACATCATCCACAGTACAACATCCACAATACAACCTCACCCACAATACAGCCTCATACACAATACAGCCTCATACACAATAC